CATAGCCTCCGAGGCTTACCTATCGATACAACTCTTCAATGAGATTGTCTAATGAGAAGCACTGGTTTTGCTCTGATTTAGGAATAAGTCGATCAGTCAGTCATTCAGATCTTTTGCAAAATTAATGCTTTTATCATTTAAATTGGGGATCACTTGTGATTCAAGGCTTACATCCAATTAATGATTTATTTATTATAACACCAAAACAGGAATTAGACATGTTTTGGTTGAATACAACACATATCTAAATAATACAGTAATAGTCTTATCAAGGTTGGTAAAATACAACACAATTTTTGGGGCTTTGTATTATGCAATAATTACACCAAAATTCCTTGTATTATTCCTTACTATGGGGAAAACTAACACAATTTATAAATCAAAATTAAACTATTTAATTGTATTATTCCCACTAACTATAAATAGTAGAGGATAGTAAAAATAATTCTTCATAATTGGCTTCACATTCTACATTCAAAATACTTGCTCGGAATACAGAGATTTAAAGAATTTTAAATTTAAAGTACAACTTAAATTTACATGTTTGTATTTGACAAAAATATTTGACCAATTTGCGTTTGTATTATACAAAAAGGCAAATGTTGCTTTGTACATACAATAAATAATACAATTATATTCTACAAGCTTTGTATATTAACCAACCCTAGTGATTATAGAGTTGGATAGGAGACCCTAACCTAAGGAATTATCCACAAACCCTAAATGTATAAGATTTTCATTAAATATAATGAATATAAATATTGATTAATGATTTGCTATTTTAAAAAGTGGTTAAAACGAGAGAAATTGTTGGCAAACTTTTAGACCTAAACATCAAAAGTCTATTATTATAATGTAAAATATAATCTATAATAAAACCATTAGTATTATAGCGAAATTGTTAACTCAATCAAAATATCGATTAACATAAAAAACATAATTCATTACAAAAAATAGCGCTAAAATATTAGTTTTGCTGTAATGACAGCAAAACCAGAATTATTATGAGATTACCAGCAGAACTCATTCAATGATAAAATCAAACATCAATTTTTGTGTCAAATCATCACAAAATAGACCTAAAAGTCATTCACAATGAGAGGAATGATTGGAAAGAGAAGTAAGAAATATATATAGAAATGATCGGAAGATATCATTAACTTTGGATCAAAACGCGGATTAGAGTCTAGTAGTGGTGTCAATACGTGTATACTATGTAATCATAATAATATGCGTGAAGTGGACTATACCTGATGTAAAGCCGTTAGTCCGTCCTCATTGGTCGAGTCCGAGCTGACCCCTAACATCAATAGACGTCTCACTAAATCATCAAATATACAATACAATCAGTTAATTATCACTTCATATCAAAGTTTGATAATCAAACCCATTGCAATATACAATCAATTCATTCAATAGCACTACAAATGCATTTCAAATACAATTTAAAAATTTGTTAAAAATAAATTGATTGTTTAAAATTCAATACTTAATGAAGTATTTGTTTGCATAAAAATTCAAAATATTATATAAATATAAAACACAAACAATGCGATTGAAAAGTGGGATCAAAAATGGGTTGAGAAATGAATGAGAAAGTGGTGGCAGACCTTCTTCGACATCATTGCGAGCGGCGGCCTCTAAGAGCATAACCGATGGCACGAAATGCACTTTATATTCCTGTCGACGGCCAGTAGTTTTGGCGTCCGATTTGCGTCTCTTATTGTTGAACTCCTTCTCGCGTTGGGACCACTTCTTGAGCTGTTGGGTGCGTCTCTTTCGGGCCAACTTCAGCCTCTCCTGAGTGCTCAGCTTCTCGAGGACCGGCATCTCAGAGACCAGTTCCGAGTGATCGGCCATCTCTGCGATTCTTATATTACACTAATATTTATATATTAACTAAAATATTAAACACTTATTTATGACAATCAATAAACGATTGTTATTTCAAAATTTGTATCAATTTTTCTTTTGCAGTGAAATGAGTGTAGAGTTTGTGCTGAAGAAGTCCCCGAAGGAAGAGTACATAGGATTTATGAACTCAATTCAATTCAAACCATTTAACAAATGGATTGACGTATACTTTGTTGGACACAAACGATAACAATATATCAGTCAATATATACGAGGACTTGGATTGCAATGAATTGAGACAACAATTCAATCCATAATAAGTGTGTAATTCATAAAACGGATGTAAAGGACGGACTCTTTGGGTGTGTTTCTCAAGAAATACAGACCAAAAGCGAGGAGTGATTGACGAGAAAAAAAGCATTAAAACAATAATCGTTTGGCAATAAAAAGTCTCTTCATTTCGTTATCATTGAAATGACAATTAAATGACAAACTCTTCGAGTAATACATATTTAACAAGAAATTTAATAATTATATTATGTTTTCATTTCACTTATATATCAGACAATCGATAGCGGAATGCAATTTGCAATTGTTATACCATTTGTTAATTAAATTATTATTAATATTATAGATGTTTGTAATGAATATTAATATTAAGTTTGCTTTTACTATACTTTCAGTCAAGTGTTGAGCAAATATTAAGTGAATTGAAGTGAAAATGAATTTTCAAATTTTGAGATCAATTCATGTGTTTTTCTATTGATTTTAGTGTTAATAATAATAATAATTGTATTTAAACCACATTTTAGGGACGGAATGCAAATACATATGACTTTTAAATAAATATAACACTGTTTTTCAATTACAATTACATTTAACAATAGACTCGAGATTATAGTAATTATAATTATTAAATATTATTCACAATTTGTTTAAAGCATTACTTATTATTTGTTTAACGAAATACTCATTGAATTTATTGATGAAAATGTTGTTTGAATTTAAAACCGGATTTTTTGGCGATTGTATTGTGTTTTGGCATTAATTGTGTCTTTCATCTCAATTTTGACGGCAATTCAACACTTGATTAACAAATTGTAATTACATTTCAATTATATAAATGACAACAATATTATTGTTTCAATATTTTGCACAATAAAATCACATTAAAAGTGTTGATTCATATGATTTACATATCATTTATGATTATAAAAACACAACAAAACTAATTGAATGCAAAATTAATATCACATTTTGAAACCCATTTAATAAATAGCATTACATTTAGTGTATAAACAAAATCATAGAAATAATTGCAACAAAAATATTAGACTTTTTGTTGAGTAAATGAAATGTTGTCTTAAAGTAATGAATGGATGAATGAATGAATGAAAATCATATATACTGTACACAAATGTGCGGCAATTGTCGACTCAATTCAATACCAATAATACAACACTTTATTGTCAGAGAGGAGAGAGAGGGAGAGAGAGAGAGGAAAAAGGCGTTCCTCTCAATACTATACCAGTTATAGTGAACTAAACATGTTATACACTATTACACTATTAAATGCATTTAAATCGGTGTACATATTGGTAGGTGTGGGCTGTGTTTGGGCTGTGTTTAGGCTGTTTTCACAGACAGCATCGCTGGCAGACTCTGTCGCTGACAAAACTGGCTGTTATTGATATGCCGAGCACTCAAACGCCATAAACACCGGCTTTTCTCATCACTTTTTTGCATTAAAACAATAATTATATTTTTTTGTTAACAAAACTATTGTGAACGTACACTGTATGGCATACAGTGTATGCCATGAAGAGTTACAGTCGTGAATATATTGTTTATGATTAATTCATTTGGCGTATAGTGTACTGCACTGTAACACTGTATGCACAGCACATACACACAGTTTATGAAACAATATTCATAAGATTTTGCTTATTTTTTGATGAGTTGAATGATTGCTTGACATTTGGTTCAACAAAATTGTTTGTTTTTTGAACCAAAAGAAACAATTATTGTTAAGAAATAGTTGTGAATAGGATTTGATGTGAAAATGTCAGGAATTGGTGCTCATATTGAATGGCTTATCAATAAAATGTTTAGAAATTAAGATTATATAAAAAATATTTAATGTTTTTGTTTGTTTGTTGTTTCGCTGTAATTGTTAGCCAAATATTGTTAGAGAACTTCACTCTTCCATCTAATTGACAATTTTTAGATTAAAATGAGAGTAATTTCTGTGAAAATTAATTATCGCTTCGATAACAGAGGGATTTTATGGCTCTTCTGATAAATTCTTCTCGAAAAACATTAATTCAAAAACAGATAAACTGTTATTAAAACACTTTGTTAGATGTCGATAACAAACAGGGTTTTATGAGTAGT